TGTGTAGTCGTTTGTCACATAGTAAACATTGCTGAAATGTAGATAAAAACAATAATGCTTTGAATGGCTTTTGTGTCAACCAATGACGCCATAGAAACACGTCGTCACTGTATAGGGTGAGGCGTGTATTCATCGTATATTCAAATTTAATTGGTATTTTCAACTTATGGATTAATAAAATAAGTATTGTAAAAGGTTAAATATCGAAATCATAGAACTTTCAGTCACTTTAATAATGAATTCATCTTTCCTTCATGCTGCTTGAGTTAGTAAAAAGGCATTAACCTGTATATAAAAAATCAATAAGTCCCCCCTCCCCCTCAAACTCCATTAAATAATCATTTCGTGCAGCTCGGGATTGATAAAAGCCAACTGGGAACACCCATAGTCATCCTTACTCAGTAACAATACGCAACATAATTGGTTTACAGCTATGAGAGGCATCAGACGTATGCAGTACCCGGGGCTGTACTATTCCGGTATTACCTACATGCTGCTCAACGAACACACAATACACTCAATCCGAAGCATCATTTCCGCTGAAGACTTAAACTTTGACACACCGTGCTGTATTAGTAAATATAACATACATATTTTGCGGTGTAGTGGGCCTCTGAAAAACTATGAATATTATCATTTGACCCCCTGAATAAATATTTCTTTGTAGGTTTAGGAGTTTAATTTACCACAGAGAGTTTGCTTATCACTTTCTGCCTTGTGTACAGTCCCAGTGTTACGAAGACTGCATTCACATTCCTCGTGTGTTCGGTTAGCAATATAATACAATGTTTTATAGTGTTATTGTATAAGAGTACTTTGTTCGAATACAGCATATGAATTTCAGTCATATGTCATCAATACAATGTACTACATTTTGAATTGTTCCTCTAAAGGTGAATCCATACTAACCTATGCACGCAAGAGATGTCTATTGTGTTAATTCAATACAAATCCGATAGACGACTGACTCATATCAAGATTGCCCAGGAAATAAATTAACAAAATATAATGACATTTTCGTAAGCTAAATCAACCGTAGAAATCTGGTTTCTATAGCACGAACGTAGTGCTGAAATATCTAGATAGTGAAATCAATTTAAAATCCACACAGATTCTTAAAGTAAGGCAATGAATTAATATCACTATAATCGCATTCGTTTTTCTGGGAAATATTACAAGTACATTTAACGCATTGTAAATGACGTGTCAGTCGTTGTTTTAAGGAATTAAAGATTGAATTCTTCTTTATTTGTCAATTATAAGAACATATTAAAATTTGTTTATTCAAATTACCAATACCTTTTCAAGGTGATGTTTATATGTATTTAATACATTCGCGATCGTCATCAATGAAGAATTATGTGAGTCTCACTTTATCGTATAATAAATTGTGTACATTTTTTCAGTACATCAGTTGTTTCCATAATAAAACACACATTGAAGTGGTGTACTGTATAAACTAGATATTCTATCTTCCTTGTACGTGCATATACTAATTACGTTGTGTGACTTGTTTTCCCCGCAAATAGTATTAACAAATTGTAATAGTGACAAATAATAGACATAGAGGTTGCTTGGCCTTAAAATGAAGGATTAATATACCCAATAAATATATATTATAGTTGTGACATTACAAACATTGGATTTGCATGAATTTTTGATATTTTATAAAAAAAAAAGTGACGCTACCTAGTGGTTTATGTCGAGAGTATTACGTACGCATTTGATTGTATTTGGTGAGGCATGGGTAAATGACAATATGACTGATTGTGTATGAATATATACTATGTAGCGTATATCAGTACCTGTTTACAACAATACACTGAACAAAACACTGCTGTAACGCTATATATTATCATATAAGAATATATTTTACATTGTATCATACATTACATATAAAATGTGAAATGTGTTTATGAAAAATGTCAAGCAATATCTGACATCTGCACTCCTGTGCTAGTGTACACTTTTATAAGTAAGCCATAAAAGCGTTAGATTAGAAGACACTTATTTAATATTATGGTTTTCCAGTACTTACCTTTGAACCATTTTTCGTTGTTCGGATATACTGGCAAACCAGTCAAGGCTTTATATGGCAAACACACAAGCTACTTGTTTATTATTCTGATTCACTTGCAAACTATTCAAAGTGATTATATGGCTTGAAAACAAGCCATTTGATTATTATTATAATAATAACATACACAACAGTTTATAACGCTTACCCACACGCCACTTGTGTAATATTGTTTAATATAAGGTAGACACGGTTTAGTATAATGGCTTCCGGCAAGCCAGACTAAAACTTACATCTTTTATCAACAAACCTTTCGTTAGATTAATATTAAGCTAGCTATATATCATGGCAAGGTACACAACCAGCAAATTGAAGGGTTTTGAGAACCATTTTGAAAAGGTAAAAAATAACAAAATAAATAAAAACAATTAAAATTTATAAACATGCCACTAATGTTCAAAAAATTACCAGACAACTTTGTAAAGTTAAACAAAACCGTATGCCTAGCCAGTTGTTCAACAAGCTATATTTCTATATTTTGAGTTTTCTACACTGCGTTCAGTTTTTTTAAACATACTTCATACTTTCAATCAATACATTGCACATATGCATTGATAAATCAATTTAAATAGTGGATTATGTAAAACCTAAACGTGCATTGCATAAATAGAAGTATTTAGTCAAACAAGTCAATATAATTGCAGGTTTTATTTTTTGGAACAAACCATTCCACATTTAGTGGATTTCATTCAGACAAGCCGATGTTATGAATTTCTTTTGTGTGCGTTTGCAAGCCATTGATACATTATAGCTTGTCTAAAAATACAATGTGTAGACATGGTTTACTGCCACGTAACTGGTCTACTATCTCGTTCTCTTGGTACTACACAATTTTACGAATGGCCCATACCATCGAAAATAAAATGACGTACTGTGACAACATTTGTGTGGTAGGATTTTGAGTTTCTATGCAAAATAGTGTGCGACCCATAGCGCTATAATTGACGATAAATCGATTCTATGAGATATATTGTACTATTAGCCCATGGGTTGTTATTGTTACTGAGTAACCCATTGGTCTTGGTAAATTTTTGATAAAGTTTTTATTACTTATTAGTTATGACAAAACTAAAATGTCAACGTTTCATAGTGTATATACTGTTAGGGGATGATGGTACCTTGCAAATTAATTCACACTTGTCCCATTCCCAGTGGCTGCATGAAATATGATATTGATATGCCAGGGCGAAATGTACCACGAATATGAAGCATACATCGACATTATAGTTTGACTATATTAACCAATCCCCATGAGTATACACAATCAAAAAAGCTGCGCTTTTACTATAAACGTGTTTATCATATTCGGTAAAAATATATGGTGCTTCTTGTTACAATAATTGGTAACAATGCCTTCATCTTGTCTTTCAGTTTTATTTGATTTAAATGTATAAGTCTTAAACAATTTCTACTATCCAAATGTTGATAATTAAATTACATTTTTTAGTCTGTTCCATAAAAAATCATTATTATTGTTCATACATTTTCATCTAGTTTATATACAGATGTGGATTGGAATAGAATATTAATATAATATACATAAGATACCGGATGTGCATTTTTTACTGTATTTTTGTTTATTACTATGGTAACAATAGATATATGTTACTTGAGTCACTAGACATAAGATTTATACGTGGGCATGGAAAACATGTATAACTAACATAACAATTTCTATCAACTGATTCATTATTGTATTTCAGAATTAATTATTCATTAAATAATCACCTTCTATTGAATATATAATTTTGTTTTTAATATTAAAATATACCTAATTATCAAACGAATATGCCGATTACGGCATTTCTAGGTAAACAGTTACAGATGTAAATGATATATATGTGATTTGTTACTGTTTTAATACTTCAATGATGGCGGACACGGAAAACACTAAACGCAAAGAAGTGAGTATCAGTTGTGTTTTAATCTTCGTTGCCTATAGGTTTATATTGACTATTTCCTTGTTCATGCACATAAAATGGAATTATAACATATTATAACTTTATTATTTAACCGTCAAATTTCTAATCAGCTCTCAGCATATTGGACTTGGACATATTGGACATACAATTACATTTCTTTTGATATATAAAACTCTGGTGTTGGGTTACAAATAACAATATATTAATTAGTATAATTAATTCATGAAAAAATCTAAAACAAATTGCTTTGTTTAATGAAAAAAACTCAGATCTATGATTCTATTTCGGAGTTGGATTCTACATATGATATGTCACATGCTGTTTTTGGAGTGTATGGTGTATTGTGGTGAATTATTGGTAGCATGTATATTCGTTTTATGCAGTCTTTATTTTACTTCTATACTTGATACTTCCCAATTTTGTCATTGTTTAGCAAGATACTTGGGTCATACCAGGTTATATTAGTATCCATGTCGCTATTTGTGATTTCATCAGACCAAGCAAGGTACATAAACTTAGATTCATCCCAAATTCATCTTGTGGGATATATATATACATTTGTGTTTTAGCGATGATGTGACAGATGACACACATGGAGGTAAATAGAAAATAAATACATACACTTTTAATGTCAACGCTTTTTTGGTTGATTGTTACACCGATTACGTATCTTACGTATTAGTCCCTGTTCATACGAACACAGTAATTTACTGATAGTTGGTATTGTGTTATCTTTCATTGCGTCAATTAAGTTTTATGCCTAAGCATAAATATGTCAAATAATAATAATGTCAAATTGCTGTCCCCTAGTTAGTATCATCACTTTGAAATAATACTGATTAATACATCAAATTGGATAATTTAACAATAAAAAATACATTGTCGCATAGAATACTTTATGTCCTTATAATTTTGTTGACTATAAAGTATATTTCTAACCCAAATAACATTAAATTAAACGTATTAGCCTTATATTGACCTGAATACAATATCGCACTTACCATCGATATCTCTGAAATAGAGTGAATACTGGTAATTAGAATACCCACTGATACGTTCACTGGATCGCCTGAAATAATGTAATACAAATAAGTTATTCCGACATGAGAGTCCCCATGTCCTGTGCTTTAAACATGGACTTTATGCCAACCGCATTTTATTTTGTTAAACGAAGCACAATATGTGAGAGTACTGTGTAACGATCCTCTATAAATTATAACCAATTAAGTTAAGTTCACGAAGTGACAATGTTTTCAAAAATAACAATTTTAGTTATACCGGATAAGTTCGGTCTAGATTGTTCATCGTAGTTCTGTTCTTCTATCATCGTAACTAGCATATCATGTGCTCTGGAATGAGAATTGTGGAAAGATTTGTTATTTGTTCGAAAGACTGTAACTGGGGTTTGTCATAAATTTATAAATGTTATTACTTGCAGTTTATTTATTTATTTGTTTGGTCATAGTACTATTTTAGCCACTGCTCATTACCACATTGTGAAGAAAACACTTACGTATATATATATATATATATATATATATATATATATATATATATATATATATATATATATATATATATATATATATATATATATGAAAGCACGTATAAATAAACTGTAACGGTTCATTTATATAATGTGATGATCGATAATTGTGTGTATTCCAAAAAATCTTAAAAGCGCCAGTCAAACGTTGTCTTTTAATAATGGATATTCCGTGTCGTGTCAAGCTGTACGTGCTGTTTTATCACTGAAATGTTTCACACGCTATACAGACCCCCTAACCAAGTCATGAAATATTTCGGATTATTTCAATATAATATTATTATCGCAAATAATAACGACAACCTCTCCATACAGCTTCCTGGAGATATATTCACCTGTTTAATCGCAAATTTGTGGCATGGTGGCCAATTGTCGCAAATTGTCAAATACCTCGTACATGAAGGTCAATGTTTGCAAATTGTCAGCACATGTTATACATGGATCCTAATCTTTGTAAATGTTCGGCTGCCCAGTAAATGGAGGTCAGTCATCGAAAATACATGGTGAAACAATTATTTTGTAAATGTGGTAAAAAAAAAAATAACACAATACGGCGAAAAAAAAATTATATTTTTATCTCATAATGACAATATTTAAGACTGGCAATTAATCGTTTTGCATTTCGGATCAAAACATCTAATAATGGCGTGTGAGTCTGATAAGATCAGGGGTTACGCTATTGAGTATTTTCAAAAATCAACCATGGATTATTTCCTTCTATAAAAAAACATTTCTCCATAGAAAGACAATTGACAGTTGAAGATTGAGTAACTGGATGGCTTTCATTCATTATGTTAGAAACATCCCGAAAATGGATTCTATTTACAACCAGTAAACACAGAGCAAATAAAATAAAATAAAACAATAATAGCTACACAATGAAACATAGATGTTTACATTAAAAAAATACACGTTATTACGAAGAAAATTATTGAATTGAATTGGAACAATATTTGGTTTTGGCAATAATTTGTTTCTAATTTTCCACCGGCGCCTCAATTCTTTTTAATCGTAATAAATTGTTACAAATACATATAAATACAATATTAGCTTGATATGGGTAAGACAAAATGCATATCTTAATACATTTAAAACGTTTCACATTATAAACATAGGCATTATACATATATCATCGAGTGAGTATATCGCACACTGCCACTCACGAATATTCACTATCTAACATCAGCCATATGCAGTATTATATTAAATCACAGGAACACGTGAGTTATACTAATCTGTCATTATATACGAAGGCATGATGTTCTATGACCTGGACATACAAGTGCTTGCTAATTAAATCGTGAACTTAGAATTCCTTATCGTATCAGATCCGTTAGATTAAAAAGCCCAAAAGTGAACCAATTAGTGCTTCAACGTTCACAGTCAACATTCTCACATTCACATTTACATTAACCACGATGTGGAACTAATTGTAGTCAACATTATTAAATATTCAATCAATAGTTTAATTGGCTCTGTAATATTGATTAAGGATTCCTTATCCCAAAATAGTTTACACACCAAAGAAGCTAACAAAAATAATTATTCATGTTATACACGATTTTCTCTGCAAATACGTATTACGTATTTTTTTTCATCCCACTATATATATAAACATGTGTACATGCTCACGATAACTAATTCATCGAATCGCATCCTTTTTCACAAGGATGACAAATCGCCTGAAAAAACACTGATTATTTTTTATGTGTCAACCACAAATATTCACACGGAAACGACATACGTCTTTTTACAAGGTTATGTACTTAGTGTTCACCAGTCATATAATTCGCGCTGCTATGTTTTAAGATACCTTACCTCAATGTAGCTTTCACAGATCCAACAGTCCACATAACAAATACCACCATGGTCAATTGCAAGAAAGTATATTGCATGTTTTCTTACACGTTATCCCTGTTCTTTCCGATGTTTTCTGATTTGATGACGATTGCAGATTCTGCGAAA